AGAGAGAGAGAGAGAGAGAGAGAGAGAGAGAGAGAGGCTAGCTCTGGTCTCTTATACACATCTAGATGTGTATAAGAGACAGGAGAGAGAGAGAGAGAGAGAGAGAGAGAGAGAGAGAGAGAGAGAGAGAGAGAGAGAGAGAGAGGCTAGTGCTGATTGGGTTCGGAAAATGACGCGGGCGCAACCCTCCCGCTAGCGCTGCGCCTCACTATCCTCTTGACCGCGGATGCGATGTCCTTGTGGTGCCAGTGCTGCGATGGGTCAGCGCTACTAAGTTGAGCGGAGTGTTGTTATGAGGCAGAAGCGCTGGTTGCCAGCAGGGCGAGTCACGTGGTGGGGCGAGCATTAGGTGTCATGAGGCGGGCGAGCAATGAGGGCGTTGGTGGCCTAGGGAGGTGGAAGCTGAGTGCCGCAACTTTACAACACTTGCGCAGCGGCGAGCGAGTAGGACTAAGCGTTGATTATGGTTGATAGAGCGGGGAGAGAGGAGTGAGTCCTTAGTTTTATCTTGTGTTGAACTCCTGGCGTCGCAGGCAGTGAGGGGGGGTCGGTGCTGCTCTGACGGAGGTGCGAACTTCCAGGCGTTCGTATCTTCTCTATGTTTGAAGATGCTTGGCTTCATAAGGTGAAACGTTCTCTACGACTCAGTTGACTTTCAACTTCAGCATCCTGGTGGTTTTCTCGACGACCTATTACTTGTAGGCGGGACGTGCGACAACAACGGTAATTATCTTCATCTTCAACATTATCATCATCATTGACGACATCGGCATAATCATCTTCACGTCACCATCATCGTCATCATTATCATCACCATCATCATCATCATCATCATCACTATCATCATCATCATCATCATCATCATCATCACCATCATCATCATCATCATCATTGTCATCATCATCTGACGTGAGTGACTCCACTCTCCTCATCTGATCACTCCTACTTCTTTCCTCTTCTTTTTTCTCCTCTCCCTTCTCCCCTTCCTCTTTCTCTGCCTACTCTCTCCATCCATTCCTCGTCCCTTTTTGCTGTTTGATGCTCTGCGCTCTGCTCTTCCTATTTTAGGGAGAGAGACGAGAGAAGTGAGGCTATGATGGGTGAAATTGGAGGAAGGAAGAGTGTGGAAGGGGCGTAGATATGAGGAAACAGAGAGTGTAAGGACAATGGGTGAAATTGGAGGGAGGATTGTGGGGGAAGGGGGAGGGATTAACATTTAACAAGGATAGGGGGAAGTATGTCCCACGTTTCTATATCTTCTTCTCCTCTGCTTGTATTTTCATGATTTTTCCAATCAATCTTAAAATCAATCTTATCATCAACTAAATAACATCTTAATAATATTTTAATCATCAATCTGACCATTAATTTCATCATCTCAGTACCATCCCATTTACGAACCTAACTATTTTTTTATAACTAATAATCCTAACTAAAGTCTCAAACATTCCTGATCTTTCTTATCTTCAAAACCTGAATTTCTTGTCTAACTAACATAACTAACATAAAAGGTATTTTTATATACCTTAGACTCTAGGCGAAAATATCTAATTAATATACTTTTTTTTGTTTTTTAATCATGTTTATCTACTCTCAAGTCTTACTATAAAAAACTTAGTCATAAATTACTCTTTGTTTTTTTTACTATTTCTTTTCTCATATGGGAGGGGCATAAATGCTCCTTCCTACATTCATAATTTTATCTCACATTTTATAAAAATAGGTTGAAGTTGTGGTAAGGGATGGGGAGAGCTCTACTTTGCAGGGGTTTCATTAGGAGGAGGGTGAAAACCTGGAAGGGGCACGGACAGATTGTGAGGAATACTCTATTCTAGGGCCGGGTATTAAATCCCAGCGGGGATAGACTACGGTAAAGAGATAGACATGGGAATTGAGGAAATGAAGGCAGGCAGAGAGAAGTATATCATGCGTCCTGGTGCTCTGTAATTCTTGGCGGCATCTGACTTCCTTCCTCATTTGGGATATAGGATCTTAGAGATGGTCGAATCTGGACTGATATCTACAGAGTTGCCTTGTTTTGTGACCTTGGTTTGCCGATGCCAGAACGACGCTGGCCGAAGCTGAGGCGTTGTCCTGTAATATGCAATTGGCAGGAGTGTGATGCCTTGTAGATAGATCTGGGGATTGCTGAGGGAGAAAGGCAATCCAGTGGCGAACCGGGGGGGCTGCCTTGACAACCTATGGGGCCAGGGATAATCTAGGTGGCGAGAAGAGGTCAACTACGGTTGACATTGGTAAGGAGGGTATTGTCTTTGAGATGTAATGTCTTGGTACAGGGAGGGCTAGGAGGTGTTATAGGATTAGGAGGTCAGAAGTGTTGATATAGTATAGTCTTTTATATTTTTTATACACTTATCATCATATTATCATCATCATCATTAGTATCATCATCTCAATCATGTTATATTAAGCTTTCTGGTGTTCTGAAATTTTTGGCAGCGTCTAGACTTCTTCCACAATAGAGATATAGGATTTCAGAGATGGTTGAACCTGGACTGGTGTCTACAGAGTTGCTCTGTTCTGAGCCCCTGGTTTGCCGACGCCAGAACGATGCTGGCCGGAGCTGGGGCGTTGCCCTGTAACTTGCAAATGGCAGGAGTGTGCGACCTTGTAGAGAGATCTGGGGTTTGCCCAGGGAGGAAGGCAATCCAGTGGTGAACCGGGGGGGGGCTGCAAGGGAGCGAGAAGAGAACAACCATGGAAGACGTTGGTTAGGTTGATACTGTTTCTGAGTCACAATGTCCTCGTACAAGGAGGGCTAGGAGTTGTTATAAGATTAAGAATTCGGAATTGCTGATATAGCATAGTCTCCTTTTTACACTAATTTTCATTATCATGAGCATCATCATCAGTAGTATCATTATCATCATCATGATCATTATCATCACCACATGAGGGACGCTGAGCCCGGTTCTCAACAAGTTCGGTTCGGTTACTCCAGGCAGACTGTGAGGATCCCGCCCTCAATCTTCTTATTGGTAATATCAGCCTTGGGCACTGGACCCGTTTACAAAAAAAAAAAAAAAAAAAAAAAAAAAAAAAGAGAGAGAGAGAGAGAGAGAGAGAGAGAGAGAGAGAGAGTCTTCCTGCAAGCAAAACCTTCAAGTAAGACACAGAGAGGTATCTCCAGTCTTCCCACAAACAGGACCTTCAGGTAACACATACACACACACACACACATATATATCGTCACAAACAGAACTGCCCGGTAAACCGTAGGCAGAGAGGGAGTATATATATATATATATATATATACAGTTTGTCACAGCCCCTCGTTTGTTGTCCTCTTCTCCCTCTCTGCCTACGGTTTACCGGGCAGGCGGGCAAGCATGTGTTCTATTTGAATAGAACACCTGTCTGTCCGACTAGAAAGAATGTGCGTACTCTTTGAATACAACATATGTTTGTACTATCTCAATGTGTGTACTATTTGGATTTCAGGGGGTGACTTTGATAAATCGACTTTTTCAGGGGAAGTTGAATAGTGCATAAGTGCGTTTTGTTCGGGGGAAGGGGGAAGCCTGCAGTTCTCGGGTGTAAGTGGGACATGGCCCCGGTCGCAGGTATCTCAGTATGGCTGTGTACTGTTCGGGGTTCGAACTCAGGTCGTATTTATTTCACCAGTTTATTGGGAAAGCTATCGACGGCGAGAGGCACGATCTCATCAGAATCAGATAACGGGCCTCGCTGCACTACTCTCCAAATGTACAAAATGAGACAGAATCCACCGCTAGAACATGGAAAGATGCATTGCCGTCTTTTTGGACTTTTGTGCATGTGGGGACTACCGGTAGTACAACGCGGCCCAACAGTCGTCACGAGTGATATCGGCCTTCGAGTAGCAGGCTGGGGCAAGGTCCCACTTGCACGAATTAAGCGATATTGACCGTAGATCGGAAAGATCAACGGCCAGAATCTCTTAATCCGTGCAAGTAGGACCTTGCCCCTGGAGTAGGTTGGCTGCCGTACTACCAGTCGGCAGTTCGTCGTTGGCGCGCTGTATTACCGGTAGGCGAGTTGGAGCATTGGATAGGTTGAGCACTGACGAGGGTGAGTCGGCAGGCATCGGACCGGTCGTACTGTGCTGCTTTCTCTGGGCTATGGCGTACGTTGAACAGCAGATCGGCGGTTGAAGGAAGGAAGGAAGTGATTGTCAGCCGAAGCACGAATGCGCGTAGGATAACGCGCCAAGGGAGAAGACGGGAGAGGTGGTAGGTAGCTGTGGACGTCATGGCTTTTTGGTTTGCCGCTATGGTTAGTACATCCTGCTTATCTCTTCCTTGATAACGTCGGCGGCGATGTAAGTTAGCTCCACATGGCCTCAATCACAGAAACGGGGCCTGGAAATTACCCCTCCTAGATTGTGCCACGTGTAAATACCTCCCTCCTGGCTGCGGCGGCCCTTCTGGCGCGAGCCTTGCAGATATAAGATTTGAGATGTGCCACGTGGGCTGGATCTTATTAGACAGACCGGGTGGGGGTTGAAGATAATCCTCCACTCTGCTTCCCCCCCCTTCGCCCCCTCCCCCTCCCTCCAGTCGGCGGGGGCCCATCTGACCCGAGCCTTGCAGAGGTGAGTTGTGAGATGTGCCACGTGGGCTGGATCATAGACGGACCGGGTGGGGGTTGCAGGTAATTCTTCCCCCCCCCCCCCCCCCTCCCCCTTCCCCCTCCCTCCAGTCAGTGCCGATCTAGTTTGCCCCCCCCCCCGATATCGCCAAGCGTCGCAATTGGTTGGCGGCGGGGATGGGATGCGCTATGTGGACATCCGCAGTAGTAATCCGCTGAAGAAGCCAATGAATGTGCCGATCTTTCTCTATGACCTTTCATTGGCTTACACGTTTTTTTTAAACACAAAAGAGAATCCTTGGCGTGAGACGTGTGGGTATCGTCGGTAATGCAGAATGTGCCACGTAGGCGTCCACGTGGCAGCATTGATTTTCGTGGCGATCTCGTAATCGCGGCAAGAGCGGTAAAGGTTTTGAAACCCCCGTCGACGGCGGCGGTGAAGCGGGGGGAGGCGAGGGGAGGCCGGGGGGCGGCGCGGGGCGCGGGGCGGGAGGCCCTCCGAAGGAACGATGCGTGGATGTAATTGAAGGGATCCTGAGGTGTCACGCGGCGGGACCACGTGGCGCAGGATGCGTGGATTAGGACTATGGTCGGGAGCGGGGCTGATTGCGTCGGGGTTCGGTCTGGGGTCGGGGTCGGGGTCGGAGGTAGGATCGAAGTGACTTCTTCTCCTCGGCGTGGTCGTGGTGTCGACGACCAGGTCGGGATCGTGATCGGACTTGGCGCTAGACATGGCGTTGGACCTGAGATAGGACCAGCTGTTGGACCTGGAACCGTACCTGGAACCAGACCGACGACCGGAGCGGTCACTGGGCCGACGATCGAAGCTGTCACGGGACCGACCATCGGAGCTGTCACGGGAGCTGACGGGGTCGGGGCTGGAATTCGGTATTTTCGGTACACAGATTTCCTTGGTCTCGATCCGCTGGTTGGTGGTGGGATATCGGTCGGGATCAAGCAGGACTCCCCCCACGGCATTGATCTTGGACCTGGACCTGGACCTGGACCTGGACCTGGACCGAGACCTGGATCTGAACCTGGGGGCGGACGTCGTTTTGACCTTTGCGCCGGATCTGATAAGGACGCCGGACCTGGTGCCAAGCCTGCAGCCATTGGGGTCGGGATCGAGTGTTCAGAGAAGTTAGCTTCGCAGCATGTAAGTACTCTGGTTGATATTGTGAGAGGTGTTCGGATTAAGCAGGAACGCCAGGATCCCGGCATTGACCTGGGCACCGTACCTGGAATCGTACCTGGAACCATACCTGGTACCGTGCCTACAACCGTACGTGGAGCCGTGGTACCTGGAGCCGTGGTACCTGGAGTCGTCGTACCTGGAACCGTACCAGGAGCCGGACCTGGAACTGGACCTGGACCTGGACCTGGACCTGCAATCGGACCTGGAACTGGACCTGGAACCGGACCTGAACAGGCTAATTGGACGAACGTAGCTTCTCCGGAAGTACGGTCTGCTTCCAGAATTAGCTCTGGTACTGGACCTGGGCCCGTACGTGGGACCATATTTGGTGGTGGGATGGCGAAGGTAATCAAACAGGAACCCTCTGATCCTAGAATGAGCTCTGGTACCGGACCTGGGACCACATTTGGTGGCCAACCTTGCTCCGGATCCGGTCCCGTACCTGGTGCGCCTTATGGTTGCGTACCTGGCTCTGCATCTTGTCCTGGGTCCGGCGATGGAACCGAGGCTGAGACCGGACCAGCTGCCAACGGTTCCATTAGATTTGGCGCCGATAGTCGTAACGAGCCTGGCACCGTACCTGGCACCGTACCTGGTACCGTACCTGGCACCGTACCTGGTACCGTACCTGGTACTAACACCAACACTCTCACTGACCCTTCCCGGGGTGCTGTGGCTAGCTCTGCGATGGATCGACGGGGTGAATCGTGCGCCGAACCTGCTGCCGCGCATGGGAACGAACCTCCGCAACGTGTTGTCGGCAGCGAGCCTTTGGGCGCCACTCTGGATCAGAAAGGTGCTGGCAGCTCGCCAAGCGAGGAGGGAGCGTCCGGCGTTTCCGCGGAGGCGAAGTCTAAGTATCTACGCCACTTCAGCGCCGCTGACAAGGAGGTAGGTCTGGAAAACATACCACGGCAACAACTATGTCTATTTGCGTTTCACTCTGTGTGTGTGTGTGTGTGTGTGTGTGTGTGAGAGAGAGAGAGAGAGAGAGAGAGAGAGAGAGAGAGAGAGAGAGAGAGAGAGAGAGAGAG